TGAGTGGCAGGGGTCGCAACGATCTCGGATAGCGGGAACGCCGTAGGATTAGACGACACGAGAGTAAAGGGAACTTCTGGGGGAGGAGAGAGAGAGGTCGAGGTGGGAGTTGCAGACCCAGAGACGGCGGGGGTCGACGCTGAAGCCGTATCTTGTCGAGCGACGAGGGAGCCTAGGGCCAACAGAGGCAATGGTGCTGCCGTTACTAAAGCACGTAAGAGCATGGTTTTTCTATTATTAAGCCGTGAAAGAAGAGAAAAGGATTGACTAGTGGCGGAAGACGACCAGAGATCGAGTTTGCCTTTTGGGTTGTAACAACTTGGGAGGGTTCTGGTAAACAGCAGCTCAACTTGCCTCCCGCCCAATTACAACGCAGTTATATTCAGGATTAGGTAATACAAACAAATATATTAGAGCGGCTCTACGTCACGACGACTTTTCCTTCTTCGACGGTGTCTTTTGACCAGTAGCAACTTGCTCTGGAGGGGATTCTGGTATCAGAAATCGTCAGAAAATGGTAGACTGTGCATTGGGCCTTTCTCACCCATGAAATCTTTTACGGTTCGTTCGACGAGCTTTAATACTCGCTGACATGCCATTTGCCATACTGCGCCGCTAACAGAGCCTATACAAAACCATGGTTAGCTGCGGGTTGCTCATTAAGGGGACACTATGCATACCAGACGGGGCAGACGGAAGCGCGAGTACCCAGGTGAAGGGGCCAAACCACCCTGGGGGTAGATAGAACACTGGGTCACGACGGTACCACCACACCAAAACAAACTGTGTTCCGGTCGTCGCAAACCACACTATCCAATTAAACGTGGACGAGAAGGAGGCCTTGTACGCGCCCAGACGCGCATCTACGTGGAACAATATTGGTTAGCACGGGCGAATACGCCCATTATAACATGCAAACGCACTCAGTTTCTCCAAATCCGACAGAGCCTTGTCTAGTTTTCGCCGTAGTTTGGCCCACTTTGCGAATTCATCCTGTGCGCTGGTCTGGTTTAGCTCGTTTTTGGTCGTTATAATCGTGTCTTTGAGTTCGTTTTGTTCTTTTACGAGTTGTGAGACGAATATGCGTGCATAGATGGCATAGACCTAACTGTGTCAGTTATTGGCCGGGTGTACCGTTGGAGGAGCAGCGTCACTCACCGCGTCCAAGAGGACAGCGTGGCCGATCCATGCGAGAACGTTTGTTAACAGGACGACGAGGAATATCGAGAGCGCAAGGGCCATAACGCACGTGGTGGGAGAGAAAAAAGGATGAAAGAAAAAAGGGGAAAAGAGCTCGACCCGGGCCAGATAGATTGAACCTCACAGAGCTGCCTGCTCCCCACCACCAGCCCACTCTCTTCCTCCCGCCCAAATCCATTACTCGCTCTGGTATTCTACCAGCTACTGGTTTTTAACGTCGATCTGTCCTGCACTCCTAGATGTCGTCCCTATGGTCCCAGCTAACCTCTAGCTCCCTCGTCCGGCCCTTCTTGCAGCTGTCCTATCCGGTACCACGTCCTGCCCATCCAGACAGTTTCCCTAATTCAAACTACTAC